GGAATTAGTCTAGAATGCTGCATTCTAACTACTGCACACCATGGATGGATGGATGGATGGATGGATGGATGGATGGATGGATGGATGGATGGAAGACAATATATACTGCTTCACAGTGCTTTCCAGCCCTCTCTAAGCAGTTTACTGACTCAGCCTCTTGCCCCCAACAATCGGGCTCCTCATTTTACCCACCTCGGAAGGATGGAAGGCTGAGGCAACCTTGAGCCTGATGAGAATCGAACTGCCAAAGTGAAGGCAGCCAGCAGTCAGCAGAAGTAGCCTGCAGTACTGCACTCTAACCACTGCGCCACTGTGGCTCTTGTGATGCAACCAGATTTTGTTCTTTTCCTGCAGTTTGCTAGTTGTTAAAACATTTTAACAATCTGTAAATCGCCCGGATTCTCTTGGGAGTCAGGTGACTGATGCATTTAATCAGTTATTATCATAATGAACTGCTACACCATGTCATTTCTTAGAAATGATGTTTAATGAATTGTGCTTGAAGTTTAAAACCCCCAATAAAATTTAATATTGCAAGCCGCCCAGGGTTAACCTGCGGTTAGATAAGCGGCCAATTAATTGAATCAATAAACACGTAAAATTACCTGCTGTATGTGTGCGTTGTTAGGGCCACTGACAAATTCTTCTAGCTCTGAAAGTCGGTTTGTTTTGGCTAAGGCAAAAATCAGTTCGGTCTCAACATAAGATTCTCTGGCTTTCTTCTGGGCCATTTGCAAGAATTTGACTAGGTCCTCCCAGTTATCTTGAACACAAAAAGAGACACAAAAAGAGACAACAAATAATTTATTTTACAATTACATTTTCAGGATGTCAGGCATTTGCAAAAAACAGCAATGTGCTGTGGCCAGCGGAGTTGGCAGCAGAGTCGGACAGGGAAGAGGTTGGGGAGGAACATGGGCCAGTCCCATGTTTTGTGTATTTTAAATAGATATACCTATCAAAATCTGTACACTGCGGTGATATGAACATTCCTAAGGTTCCCAATCGCACATAATCTATGTGCTAGTCGTTTCTGATTCTAGGGGGCGCTGCTCATCTCCGTTTCAAAGCCGAAGAGCCAGCGCTGTCCGAAGACGTCTCCGTGGTTATGTGGCCGACATGACTCAATGCCGAAAGGAGCACGGAACGCTGTTCCCTTCCCACCCAAAGGTGGTCCCTATTTTTCTACTTGCATTTTTACATGCTTTGGAACTGTTAGATTGGCAGAAGCTGGGACAAGTCACGGGAGCTCACTCCGTTATGCGGCACTAGGGATTCGAACCGCCGAACTGCCGACCTTTCTTATCGACAAGCTCAGCTTCTTAGCCACTGAGCCGCTAAGTGAAGAGAAATAAAAGAAGTCATGTATATTCTTACACGGTGTTGAAAAAAAAACAAGAGACTGATAGAATCCGTGACTATCAAATGGTGGCTTAGCTAAGGGACAAAACTGTTCTGATATTCAAGTGCAAAACCAATGTATTTAAGTACAATGACAATAAAGATTAATACTTAAATCAAAAATTGGGCTTACCGTTTCTGTTGGCTGCCTCCACCACCTCCATATAGGCAGAAGGATCATCCGCCTTTATGTAGGAATCTATCGCTTCCTTAACCAGATCCTTCTGAAGCTGGGCTCTGCCCAGCTGACTCCACACAGCTGGCTCGTTACACCTCTCGGCAAATTCATAGGCACGGTCCAAATTGCCGATGTGTTCTATCAACACCTATAAAAAAGCGTGCAAGGTGAGTCTTCAGAAACCCCCCCTTAGGAAAAATAAAGTGGCCTGGGGTGGGGGGAGAAAGGGGTCCAGGTTTTTCAAGGGAGGAGGCAGGCCAACCATCTAAACCAGATGGCCAAGTTGGCCAAACTGAAGACTTTGTGGACTCCAACTCCCAGCATTCCTCAGCCAGGAAGGAAGGAGGAAGGCAAATCAGATGGCCAAGCTGAAGACTTTCAACTCCCAGAATTCCTCAGCCAGGAAGGGAGGAGGCAGGCCAACCATCTAAACCAGATGGCCAAGTTGGCCAAACTGAAGACTTTGTGGACTCCAACTCCCAGAATTCCTCAGCCAGGAAGGAAGGAGGCAGGCCAAACCTGAAGGCCAAGTTGGCGACTTTGTGGACTCCAACTCTCAGCATTCCTCAGCCAGGAAGGGAGGAGCCAGGCCAACCATCTAAACCGGATGGCCAAGTTGGCCAAGTTGAAGACTTTATGGACTCCAACTCCCAGAATTCCTCAGCCAGGAAGGGGTGAGGCATGCCCAACCAGATGGCCAAGTTGAAGACTTTGTGCACATCAACTCCCAGAATTCCTGGCTGAGGAATTCTGGGAGTTGAAGTCCACAAGTCTTAAAAGTGCCCAACTCGGGAGATCCCAGATCTGAACCAACACTAGGAAGAAAAGGGGTGTGGGGTGTGTGGAAGCTCCCTTTGAAGATCGGCCAGCTGCCGATTTTGGCCCCCACCTGAATGGCGGAAGTGTTGACGTCGAACTTCCTGAAGATAGCGAAGGCTTCCTCATAGAGCTCATTGCTGATGGCGATGTTGGCGATATCGGGAGCATCGTAGTTATCCAGCCGGTTGATGTACTCCATCACCCGAGTGCGGTCGGCTTTGATGGCCGTCAAGATCAAGAGGTTCTGCAGATTCCTTGCGAGAAAGTTCACGAGGACAAGGGTTAAGCCAGCATGGTCCAGCAGTAGAATTTACAACCATTCAATTAGTTTGGGCTTAAATTGGGATTAGTTTGGGTTTAGTTTGGTCTTAGTTTGGGATAGTTTGGGCTTAGATTGGTCTTAGTTTGGGTTTAGTTTGAGCTAAAATTGGGCTTAATGTGGGCTGGTTTGGTCTTAGTTTGGGCTAGTTTGGGCTAGTTTGGGCTTAGATTAGTTTGGTTTTAGTTTGGTCTTAGTTCGGGTTTAGTTTGGTCTTAGATTGGTTTTAGTTCGAGTTTAGTTTGGGATAAAATTGGGCTTGCTTATATTGCATTTAGTTTGGTCTTAGACTGGGTTTAGTTTGGTCTGATTGGTCTTAGTTCGGGTTTATTTTGGGCTAAAATTGGTCTTAGTTTGGGATAATTTGGTCTTAGTTTGGTCTTAGTTCAGGTTTAGTTTGGTCTTAGATTGGGTTTAGTTTGGTCTGATTGGTCTTAGTTCGGGTTTAGTTTGGACTAAAATTGGGCTTAGTTTGGGATAATTTGGTCTTAGTTTGGTCTTAGTTTAGGTTTAGTTCGGGCTAAAATTGGGCTTAGTTTGGGGTTAGTTTGATCTTAGTTTAGGTTCACATTAGGATAGTTTGGATTAGATTGGTCTGCAGAGACGTTCCCTAAGGATGGGCTCCAGCACATGTCCGAAAGCTTGGAAGACAAAACCTCTGGTCCCGCTGACCGACCCAGTTTGTATCCTGCATTCGATTAGTGACCATTCAAAGTTACAACTGAACAAAGGGACTTAGGACCGGTTTTCCACGCTTATAACCATTGCAGAGTCCCAACAGTCACATGGTCAAAATTTGGATGCTCGACAACTGGCATGTGTTTGTGATGATTGTACTGACCTGGGGGGGGGGGTGCCATTTGATTGCCATTTGCGACTTGCTCAGCAATGTCAAGGGGGAAGCCAGATTCACAACAACGGTGCTACTAACTTAACAACTGCAGAGATTCACTGAACGACCAGGGAAGAAAGGTTGTAGAATGGGGCAAAAGTCTCTTAGCAACTGTCTTGCTTAGAAAAGGGCTCAATTGTGGCCATAGGTCAAGGGCCATCTGTAATAATTCGAATATAAGTTACTTTATATATAAGTATTATATGTATTTATTTATACGTAATATAGATAGATGATAGATAGATAGATAGATAGATAGGTAGATAGATAGATAGATAGTATAAGTATAACATCTCGAGGTATGTGTTTTGTTCGTGGCACGTCAAAACCGCGGTCCACTAAAGCGCACCCGATTAACATGACGTCATCAGCAGCGCGACAAGAAAGAAAAAGGGCGCTTTAAAAAGCGCTTTTAAAGCAAGCCAATTCACATAAAGGTAAGGGTTAGGGTTAGGGTTAGGTTTAGGGTTACGTTAAGCGTTAGGGTTAGGTTTAGGGTTAGGGTTAGGTTTAGCGTTAGGTTAAGGGTTAGGTTTAGGGTTAGGTTAAGGGTTAGGCTTAGGGTTAGGTTTGGGGGGTTAGGTTTAGATTTACGCGTTAATTTTAAGTTTCCCGCTCACAGCGTGCTGTTTTCGTCGCGCTGTGATGACGTCACATACGCGCTTTCGTCGAGCGCGCTTTAGTCTACCGCAGTTTTGTGGTGGAACCGTTTTGTTAAGATACAGCCTGTTGTGCCTTAAAATGGTTTCTACCGTACTGCCATAAAATGGCTTCTACTGTACAGCGCAGTGGAGTTGCCATGGTAACGGCTTCACAGTACTCCACAAGGGGGCTCCGTCTGGTAAGGGGTAAAACCCAACATTAGAAATTACGTTTGGTCCGGACATTTTCCCCCTATCAATAAATACCCGGGCAACGCCAGATTATTGGCTAGATAAAAAGATTTTTAAAATGTCATATAAAGATGACATTTGGAAGGCAGAAAACGGTCTTCCCTACCTGTGCTCGCTGAAGACAGAATTATCCAGGACAATCTTTTCGAGCAGCTCAATCAGTTCGTTGGGGAGGTCGGCTGTCATGAATGCTTTCACCGTCACAGAAACCTCTTCCGGATCTTGAGTTTCCGATAACGCCGTCTGGACAACCTAGTATTTGGGAAACAGGACGCCACTGACCGTCATTAAGCACAATCCTGGCCCAGCGAAGGGCGAAAAGCAGAAACGCACTGGGGTGTCTTGAAAGGCTGTTAGCCGGGACTTTGCTGGAGAGGAATTCACTTTAAACTAAATAAAAAAGGGGTTTTATCGGGACGAGGAGTCGGCTTTGGGCTTTTGGGAAGCCAAGGTCAGAACAGATTCCAAATCTCTCGCATACCTGATCAATGAGGGGTCTTCTGAAGGGGTTGTTCTCCTCCAAAACACTGACCCACAATTCTGGATCTTTCCTTCGCACCAAGTAACGAGCTTCGCTTTTAAATAAAGAATTCTCATTGCAAACCTGGGAAAAGTTAAAAAAAAAAAAAAGCAACAGAAAAGGAGGAGGCTGGTGTTAAAAAAGTAGCGTTCGGATCGGCTGTCGTTTAAAAGGACTTTTTCCCAATTTTGAAGTTAGCGGCAGCCATGTTTCAAACATGGCGGATTTTTCAAAATTATTGTTATATTAGTTTCTATAGCTGAGTGGTGCGGGACCTAAGAGGTGGAGCTCTCAGCTGTCAATCAGGAGGCCGTGAATTCGATCCTAGGTAGAAACAGATCTCTCTCGGGGCACAATGAGATTATATCTGCTGAATAAAAACTCCGCATTGGCAACAGGAAGGGCATCTGGCCAGTAAACACTCGGCTCCATTCAGCTGTCCAGACTCCACCTGACAAGGGAGTATGGGGGCATTAAAAAATGATGATGAGTGGTGCGGTAGCTTAGAGGTGGAGCTCCCGCCTCTCAATCAGGAGGCTGTCAGTTTGATCCTAGGGAGAGGCAGATATTTCTCTCTCTGGGCACAATAAGATTACCGTATTTTTCAGAGTATAAGACGCACCAAGATTTGGAATAGGCAAATTTTTTTAAAAAAGGTTTTGCACTCCGCAGACCTCCCAGAAATGGCCCGTTTTTCATGGTTAAAAAAAGGGGGGGCATGCATAGCCTTTAGGAGGCTTGTAGAGTGCTCCTGGGGGCTGGGGGGGGGGGAAATTGAGCAAAAAAAGGGCAGTTTTTCACTTATTTCTGCCCTCCCCAGCCCCCAGGAGCACTCTGGAAGCCTCCTAAAGGCTATGCATGGCCATTTTTTAAGGGGGAGGGGTTTCGGGAGGCCAAAAATGCTGTATTCCGTCTAGAAGTATAATCTTTATTGTCATTGTACAAAATAAATACAACGAAATTGGTATAAGACGCACCCAGATTTTCACTCTCTTTTTTGAGGGGAAAAGGGTGCGTCTTATACTCCGAAAAATACGGTATATTTTCTGAACAAAACTCTGCATTGGCAACAGGAAGGGCATCCAGCCAGTAAACACTTGGCTCCAGATGTTCAGACTCCACCCGGTAAGGGATTTCGGGGTCATTCAAAGAAGATGATTACTTTCTACGTCCCTTTGCTCCTTCATATCTAATGTCAGTATTCACTCACCTTGATGAGCTCGAGGTCACACTGCCCCCTTTCATAAGCCACACAGGCCAGGTGAGGGTCTCTCTTTTCACAATACTTTCCGACAACACAGCTGTCGTAAAAGGGATTCTCCCGCAGGAAGCGCTCGGGGTTGTTGTTGCTGTCGATGTAGATTTTCGCCAGGGCGTTGTGCGTTGCCGGCTCTTCGCAGCCTTCGTGAATCCGAGACTCCAGCCAAGGCAGGAGCAGCTTAAGCCTCGAAGAAGAACACGGATCTTTAGTTCACTCTTGTCTGGCCAACATTTAACCGATTGATCAATTTATCTCAAAAGGCAGTACTGCAGGTTAATGCTGTTGACTGCCAGGGCCCCCGGGATACAGCGGCCGTTATAAATACAGGGGGGTTGCCAAGCGTCCAAATTTTGTTCACATGACTATGTGGATGCTGCAATGGCTGAGATAGCAATAGCACTTAAGACTTATATACCGCTTCTTGTGGGAAACAATAGCAATAGTACTTAGACCCAATCAGGCTGCCAAGCCGCAAAGGCTGCAGACTTGCTGGTGTAAGTAAAGGTAAAGGTTCTCCTCGCACATATGTGCTAGTCATTCCTGGTGACAATCTCCATTTCAAAGCCGAAGAGCCAGCGCTGTCCGAAGACGTCTCCGTGATCATGTGGTCGGCATGACTCAACGCCGAAGGCGCACAGAACGCTGTTCCCTTCCCACCAAAGGTGGTTCCTATTTTTCTACTTGCATTTTTTATATGCTTTCAAACTGCTAGGTTGGCAGAAGCTGGGACAAGTCATGGGAGCTCCCTCCGTTACACAGCGCTAGGGATTCGAACCACCGAACTACTGACCTTTCTGATCAACAAGCTCAGCGTCTTAGCCACCGCATCTCTTGCTGATATAGGGGAAGCTAATTTAATCCTTCTTGGGGAATAAAATATTCTGAAGGTCTCTGTGGGTCTCACCTGTTCCTCTTCCCAACTTCGGCCACCAATTCGTCGGTCGAGAACTGACCTCTCACCACCATGATCAAGTTCTTAATGACATCTTCCGAGCAGTCCACGTCTAAGAGACCTCCCACGACGGCAGGGATGCGGCTGGGATTGACCTGAAATGGGACAAAATTGTTGCGTTTCAAGGGCTTGCAATCCTACCATCGCACAAGCCAGTCTTAGGAAGGCAAACTTCCAACCAACCTCCTGCTCTATACCCATGCTCCAGGAATTCTGGGAGTTGAAGTCCACACTGTATTTTTCGGAGTATAGGACGCACCATTTTCCCTCAAAAAAGGGGGCGAAAATCTGGGTGCGTCATATACTGAATAAAGCATTTTTGGTCTCCCAAAACCCCCACCCCCTTTGCAAAAATGGCCATGCATAGCCTTTAGGAGGCTTCCAGAGTGCTCCTGGGGGCTGGAGAGGGTAGAAATAAGTAAACAATGGGCACATTTATTGCTCGATTTTGCCTCCCCTGTCCCCAGGAGCACTCTATAAGCCTCCTAAAGACTATGCATGCCCTTTTTTGGGGGAAAAAACCCAGGCCTGTTTTCGCAAAAAACAAGCTGTTTTTTGCTCATTTTTGGTCCCAGCCCAGCCCCCAGGAGCACTCTACAAGCCTCTTAAAAGCTATTCATGCCCCTTTTTTTGGACAACAAATGGGCCGTTTTTTTGCTCATTGGGGGGACCACCACCCCAAGAGCACTCTACTAGCCTCCTAAAGGCTATTCATGCCTTTTTTTTTAAAGGGCCTTTTTGGAATATCTGCAGAGTGCAAAAACTTTTTTTTAAAAAAATTGCCTCTCCAAAATCTTGGTGCATCTTATACTCCGGTGTGTCTTATACTCCGAAAAATACAGTTATCTTAAAGTTGCTACAGTTGAGATGCACTGCTACTAGAAGGATCTACCGTATTTTCCGGAGTATAAGACGCACCTTGGTTTTTGGGGACGGAAATCTGCCTCTGCCTACTAGCATCCATGGTATTCACATGACACATGGTAACAAGGTCAGCCAATGAATAGGTGTAGCAACTAAGTCAGCCAAGGAGGGCTATTTGGACTCTGAAACAGTCCTTGCCATGTGAGCAACAAGGAGACAGGAAGGAGCCTGGCTTAGCTGAGAACTGAAAGTGAAACTGCTTGTGTTTTGCTTGCATTTACTGCTGCCTTGGAAAACCTGCTTTTGGTATTGTATTGTACATTATTATTATTTTGAATCCTG